CTGCCAGCTTCACATGTTTTAACTCTGTCAGAGCACTTTGAAAAAGTGGTTTGTGGTATCTGGAAAGCTGATGTTGCGTGTGAAGATTACAGACCTATCGGGGGTCTGGCTCTCGAGATTCGGAGAACGATGCCTCTTCGATTTTTGAGAAAGCAATCCTGCTGGGGGTCTGGCTCTCGAGATTCGGAGAGCGGTGTCTCTTCGATTTTTGAGAAAGTAATCATGTTGGGAGTCTGGCTCTCGAGATTCGAAGGACGTTGCCTCTTCGATTTTGGAGCAAGCAATCTTGTTGGGAGTGTTTTCTCGAATGAGAGTAAAGGTTGGGCATGTTTGCTAGTCTACCTTGCCACGAAGCACAGAGGTTGACACACAGGGACTTTCCAATTATCCAGCAGTGGTACTGTTCCTTTACCCTCTCTTCGATTTTTGAGAAAGTAATCATGTTGGGAGTCTGGCTCTCGAGATTCGGAGGGCGGTGCCTCTTCGATTTTGGAGCAAGCAATCTTGTTAGGAGTGTTTTCTCGAATGTGAGTAAAGGTTGGGCATGTTTGCTAGTCTACCTTGCCACGAAGCACAGAGGTTGACACACCGGGACTTTCCAATTATCCAGCAGTGGTACTGTTCCTTTACCCTTGTGGGTAATAATATGGTAGCTAGACCTTCAAAATTTATGTGTCTAAACTTTGTTAGTGTTGTTTCTTTGCAATTCTTTTACCCTTCTTGGTCAGAGTGGTGTAGTGGGAGCTGCAAGCTTCACGTGTCTCAACTTTGTCAGAGAACTTTGGCAAAGTTATCTGTGGTACCCATGAGCTACTGTTGCGTGTGGGAAGTGGGTGATTGAACAGTACGATTCATGTGCTTTCTACTTCGCCAGAAATCTTCGACAGAATGCCCATAATTTCCGCAAAGCTGAGTGTGCGTGTGACAGGTGCTGACAAGGCTGGAAAAGTAGGTGCCTCTTCGATTTCTGAAATCGGCCCTCGTGGTCTCTGAGCAGCCCAGCTTTTGAGAAAGCAAGCCTCTTCGATTTCTGAGATCGGCCTTTGTGGTCTTTGAGTAGCCCAGCTTTTGAGAATCTCTGAGCAGCCCAGCTTTTGAGAAAGCAAACGCCTCTTCGATTTCTGAGCAGACGCCTCTTCGATTTCTGAAGCTTCGTCGAGTGCAGATTTTTATAGGGGCTGACATTAAGTTCCAAAGCACACTTGAATATCCACCAGTAGAAGCTCCATTCTTGCACTTCTAAGATCTTGATTTGTCCGACCTCTTCTCTCTTCAACACCTTTGAAAATGTCTGGCCCCTCCGACCGTCGTTTTGACTTGAACCTTGTTGAAGAGGCAGCCCCGCCTTCTCCAGACAACATATGGCGCCCATCCTTCGTCTCCCCTACTGGTCCTCTTACCGTTGGGGATTCCGTGATGAAGAATGATATGGCCGCTGCGGTAGTGGCCAGGAACCTTCTCACTCCCAAAGATAACAGACTACTTTCCAAACGATCTGATGAGTTGTCTGTTAAGGATTCTCTGGCTCTCAGTGTTCAGTGTGCAGGTTCTGTGTCTAATATGGCCCAACGCCTATTTGCTCGAACCCGCCAAGTTGAATCATTGGCGGCTGAAGTGATGAGTCTCAAACAGGAGATTAGAGGGCTCAAGCATGAGAATAAACAGTTGCACCGGCTCGCACATGACTATGCTACAAACATGAAGAGGAAGCTTGACCAGATGAAGGAATCTGATGGTCAGGTTTTACTTGATCATCAGAGATTTGTGGGTTTGTTCCCAAGGCATTTATTGCCTTCGTCTTCTGGGGCTGTACCGCGTAATGAAGCTCCAAATGATCAATCTCTGATGCCTCCTCCTTCTAGGGTTTTGTCCAATACTGAGGCTCCGAATGATCCCCCTCCGGTGCCTTCTCTTTCTGGGACTCTACCGACTGCTGAGACTTCTCCTAAGCAACCTTTGTGAAGGCTCCCTCTTGTTTGTTTATTTTGACTCAAGTATATGTACATATTTGTAACTTATCGGGGATATCAATAAATAAGCTTTCCTTCATTTCAACGTATTGTGTTAAATACACCAAAGCCTTCTTCGCTAAGTTCTTTGAATTTTCTTTTGTTGAAGCTTGTATGTTGAAGCTTTGTGAGTGGAGCATATAGGTTGAGGTAAAAAAAATAAAGAAAATAAAATGTTTCAAATTATGAAAAAGAAGAATTAAAGTTGGGAAATATTGGATTCAATCGATATGGCGACATAAAAGACATCAAGAAATATACTGGTGTCAGAATTTGGAGTACAATACGTTGTTTTGAAGATAATCACGAGCAAAACAAGACTTATGGATATACAATGAACCTGTCATGTTTAGGGGTGAAATTTTTGTCAAATTACCATACCAATTGAATTACCAACCGTACCGTACCAAAGTTGTGCCAAAAAAATTGTACCATTGGTAATGGTACCGTATTTGTACCGTACCATACATTTTCGGTACGGTAATGATATTCAAAACCATTACCAATGGTATACCATACCATACCGCTCCTATTAATATTATATCATTTATTTATTCATTTATATACGTAATTATGTATTATTATCATTATATATGCACTTCTATATTTTTTTCCTAGTCATTTATGCAAGACCATCCTCTCACCCTCTAACCTCTACTTTCTCAATAAAAAACCCTAAGCCTTCTCTATTGCTACTTCATATTTTCACTCATCTTGCCATGGACTTCATCTCTGTTGCTCCCATTCCGGCGACTCTCTTTCTTTGCAGTCCATCTCATCTTCTCCTTCATCAAATTGAGTTGTCTTTTTCCCTGGCTTCGTATATCAAGTTAATTTTTGTACAATTTTAAAGAACGTAGAGATGGAATTTAGGAATCTTTGTATTAATTTTTTTAGGGATGCTGAGTTCTTTCAACAATTCTTCCATTTATTTACTTATTTTTCTTAAATAAATTTCTATAAAATTCTCATTATTAATTAAAAAAGTTTTAAAAACCCAAAGAGAGTGCCCAAAACAAGTTTGGGCCTTGAATTGGGTTGGAAAAAAAAAACAAAAAACAATGTGGTAATTACTATTACCATACCATGTCAACCGAACTATTTGGCATGCCGAAATTCGGTATACTAAAAATTTGGCACGGTAATGGTAATAAATTTTGTCATACCAAAAGTTTGGTATGATAATAGGTACATGAGTATTGATACAATAATCGTACCCATACCATCCCTAGTCATGTTTGGGGTAAAAACGATAATTTTAGCCTCCAAAATGTTTAAAGTAAAAAAAGATGGTTTCAGCCTTCAAAACAATGTTTTAATGTTTGTAATAAAAATCAGACTTTTAGTTTTATGTTCGATTAATGTCTTTTACATTCCCTAAGAACAACTTCCCAAGAGGCAAATTAAGTTTATTTAAGCCTTATGAATTCTATTATAATGGAACATTCAAGAATTAATTAAAAAACTCTTTGAGATTTTTCTCTCTAAAATCTCGGGTTTACCTTTAGACATAAGAGCCGCAAGGAAATCGGTCAGAAGAAGTTTGTTTAGGAAGTTTCGAAGAACCATCGTAATTAATAAACAAGTCCGGGTACTTCCAACTGGAATTGCGTCATGAAAAATAAAAAGAACAATCGATTGGAAACCGTCGCGATCTGCCATAGAAGAACTTTTCACACCTGATTCTACACGCAGGAAGTGCGTCATGGGAAGAAAGCATGAGTCCAACCGGAGGACTACTTTAATTGCCGCCTCGATTGAAATCCTTAAAAATACAGAAAAAGAACCGTTAATAAACGGGATGGTACATTACATGTCACTATATAAATGGTAAGATATGTGTGTTAAAAAATTAATAACTTAAAAAATAAAATTTCTCACTACTTCTATAAAAACACATGGTGTGACACTCGTGTTCCGATCATAATGAAAAATTTCTCGAGAGAATCCTACTCCAGTCTGAACCTTGCACGACACACTGACATCAGTCGGGATAATGTTTTATACTCTCCATCAAAGTCATATTTAGTAAAGCTGGTGGCCTGTCACTGTCGTTCTTGCGCCCGCATAGTTTTGTTATGGAGATGTGAGCATATTTTCGTAGTAAGAATACTATGTTAAAAGTTTTAAGAAAGAAGTCGGGGAATTTATGAAGAAGGGTCGAAGGGGGAAATTGTGTTTCTGATTCCTATATATACTGTAATTGCAAGTAAGTTTCCGAAAACTTAACTTTAGTGTTAACCAGAGTAGCAAATCTTGATTACAAGAAGAAACTCCGACAAGAAATCTATGTAATTAATAGAAGAGTTATTGGCCAATGTTTCTCTCGAACTTGTAAGGAATTGTCAATTTTTCTTTAAAATTTAATTTAACCGACCATTCTCTCTTAACTTTAATAATTGAGTAATTTTCTCCTAGAATTTTAGTTTTAGTCGATTACCTTTCTGAACTTTTATATTAACTAATTTTCTCCCTAAATCCTAAAAATTCAAACAAAAAGTGTACGGAGTAAACTAGCAGAAGAAGAAAAAAAAAAACATCTTGTCCACATTAGGGATAAAATTATCTTTTGCAATAATAAAACTAAAGTTCAGGGGAAAATTGGTTAATTATAAAAATTAAGAGGGTAATAACTTGGTTAATTTTAAAAGTTCAAAAGGTAATTGACCAAAATTAAAATTTAGAAGAGAAATTGACTAATTATAAAAGTCTGACTAAAGTTAAAGTTCAGAAAAATTTAACTCTGTGCAAGTGAGGAGAAGTCGACAAATAACTCTTAATAGAATAATTGTAAGCAGTAAATGTAGATAGATTTGCTGCCCTTGTTAACACTTTTTAAAAAAGAAAAAGAAATACATGAACCCTGGCGCTGCCTGTAAATATATAATGGAGGACTTGAAGCCAAGAGAGAAGCAAGAAAAGAGTGAAAAGGAGGTTAATTAGCACCCATAAACAGCAATTAGCGATATAATGTCTTCGTCTGCGTGGGCTATCTTAAGAGAATTCTGCTTTGCCTACGGTTTTCTAAGACACGTTGATATGCTCTTTCCAGTAGTACTCGGTTCCATTTACTATCCTTACATCCAAATCAAATTCAATGAATATTCTGGAGAACATAACCTCATGCGCAGTGAAGCCTTCTCCGCCATTGAGAACTACCTGAGGTCCAAAGCTTGCGAAGAAGCAAATCGGCTGCGTGGTTGCGTGACGAACAACCAGTCCCTTGTGCTTAGCATGGATGCAAATGAAAAGGTTGCTGACGAGTTTGAAGGAGCCAAAGTATGGTGGGCTTTCGGGAAAACCATTGTTATGCAACGGAGTTCGTTACACCATCCAGTTCCTTGTGAGAGGATGTACTACAAGCTCACTTTTCATAAGACGCAGAGGGATCTCATTATCGGGCGTTATATCGAACATGTCATGAAAGAGGGCAATGCAATTAAGTTGAGAAACCGGGAAAGGAAGCTTTTTACCAACAGCGGGGTACGTTGGAGCCATGTTGTGTTTGAGCACCCTGCGACATTTCAGACACTAGCCATGGATCCGGTGAAGAAGCAGGAGATTATGGACGATTTAATGACATTCAGCAAAGCGGAAGAGTTTTACAAAAGCATTGGGAGGGCGTGGAAGCGAGGGTACCTCCTTTATGGCCCCCCGGGAACTGGGAAGTCAACCATGATTGCCGCCATGGCGAATCATTTGGGCTACAATATTTACGATCTTGAGTTGACTTCAGTGAAGAACAACACCGAGCTGAGGAAGCTACTGCTTGAAACATCGAACAAGTCTCTTATTGTGATTGAAGACATTGATTGTTCACTTGATCTCACTGGGCAAAGGATTAAGAAGAATGATAAAGATAAAGAGGACAAAGATAAAGGTCATGGAAAGGAAAACGGAGGACAGGAAAAGGAAGCAAATATACTGAGCCAGGTTACTCTTTCAGGGCTTCTGAACTTCATTGACGGGCTCTGGTCAGCCTGTAAAGGAGAGAGGCTGATATTCACCACCAACCATGTGGAGAAACTCGACGCTGCACTCACTCGAAAAGGACGGTTGGACAAGCACATAGAACTATCATACTGCACCTTTGAAGCATTCAAGGTGCTCTCTAGAAACTACCTTAAACTTGAATCCCACCATTTGTTCCCCACGATTTGCGAGTTGCTGGGGGAAACTAATGTGGTTCCAGCTGATGTCGCAGAGCATTTGATGCCCAAGACACTTTCTCAAAGCGCTGACATCTGCCTGCAGAACCTGGTCCAAGCTCTCAAAAAGGAGAAAAATAACGGAAAGTTAATAGCCAAGGAAGAAAGGAAATACGGAGCAATCAGCTGGAAGTGCATGACAAGCACACAAGATCATTTGATAGAAGATAAAAAGAGAGCCAAAAATTAGGATTTAAGAATCGGATCCTCTAATGCTATGTTTGTTTATGTAAGTGTGATGTTTGTGTACTATATTTTCCACCTTATATAATTTCCTCATCATCTTTTCTATACAAGCAGTATGAGGATGTGAGGGAACCGAACTCAGAATCCCGAGTTCAATGAGCGAATGCTCGTAGCAGATGAGCTACAAAGTTTACAAACCCTTTTTCTTGTATATGTTCTACCTTTTGTTAGTGTGTAATGAGAATCATTTAATGGAGTTGTAAAACATTTTGTGTAGCCACATAAGCGTCTTCAAGTATATGGTTTGCAGCCACTTTTATTTTTTCTTTATCTTTTTCTCTTTTATCTACAATATAAGTACAAAAGAGTCAAAGGCGAGGCACAAAAAACTTGTGGGCAGCAAAGCAAAACAAGTTAATCTACAACAACTCTTGTTGCTGTGAAGAACAAGGTGAAAGTAAGTAATACTGTCTCTAATTATTGAGATTTTCTTACTGCAATACATTCCTGAATTAATTTCAGATCAAAGTATACAATGAAGCGTCATTTAATTAAGAAAAGTAATTGGAGAAATGGGTAATTCAGGGGGTTAATAGATTATTTGCTGGTGCCATATCTAGAAAGTTTATATTTTAGGCTTTTCAAGTTGTTTGGATGAATGTTACTTTTATTGGCATGTCAATTTTGATCCTGTAAGATATGAATTCGAAGAAAACGACGAGATCTACAAGACTTGTTGACGCTCAACGAGCCCAACCGAAATTTAGGCTAATTATGTCGTATAATGTGTTTAATTTGGGTTTCAATATTTTAGAAATTTTTATTTGTTATTTGTTTAATTTATTTTTTTTATTTGGAGCTAGGGTTTGTTAAGACTACTTAAACAACTATTAGGATTGTATTTTAGGATCTTTCATTCAATAAAATTCAGAAATTAAACTAGAGTTCTCTTTCAATATCTGGTATTCCAGAATTCTATCCAAAGGTGACCGTTCGTGATACCTAACCTATAACTTCCGCTGTGTCACACAGTTTGATATGCGTGTAATTTATTTATTTATTTTGCATTTTTTAATTAGATATTTATGCACTTGTCGCAATATGTGATTTACAGGAAGGTGCTTTTAACTATAATTGAAACTGAAAGTGAAGCAGAAAGAATGCGTGTGATGGGTGTGGGCTTAAACTAGGCTCAGATATCGCCGGTGTGACGTGCGTGTGAACCCTATTTCAAGTTTTTATTTATTTATTTTTTTTTTTGAGAAACTTCGCCTGTACGAATAAATTTATTGATATGAAAAAGAAAAAAAAATTTACACCTAGTCAGGAGGGGGACATAAACCTTACCCATCATAAAGCAAGAAAAACAAAATACAAGAAAAATGGGGGGGGGGGGGAGGGGCATACAAGAAAAGCTTATAATTTTATCAATTAACAACAAATTGTCTACAATTTCCATCAGATTTGGTCAATATAACTAGAAATGTGATTAGTTTCCTTGTTTTTCTTTAGCTTGCATATATATGTTGCTAACTGATTGTCAACAGCAAACGAACACTGATTAGTTTCCTTGTTTACGGTTAGTTGTGGACTGCTTGCCCGTCTTTGTAAAATACAGAGGCCATGCAAGAAAAGCGGAGTTTAAACGGCGACTCCAGCAGACATACTTTGAAGAAAACAGTCAGCCTGGGGGTGGGGTGGGGGTTTTTCAACCTTATTTCTTCCATTGTACAACCTGATGAATGTGACTGTTTATCTTAATAATGTAATAAGAACTTGGGTGGAAAGAGTTCATGACTACCGTCAACCCTAATACATCGTCAATCTCACACATGTTCTTGTATTGTAGGTTCAAAATACAAAACAAAGGGAAGACATACCAATTAACGAACATCCTAAGAAAGGATTAGAAGGTGCACAGATAGGCCTACTCGAAGTAAGTATATCAATAATTAGAGGCTAATCAATAATTACAGGTCATTTAAGGGAATAGATTCTCATTTTGTTTAAAAAATGGGGATTAGTTATGAGGCCCACACCACATCGAACTTTAATAATCTGAACCGTCGATTTTTTAAGTCTCGATTATTTGATGCATCTTTACAAAAATTCATTTCAATCCGAAATCATTTGCCTATTTAATTGTCACTATGAAATTCCAATATTTCTTATATCATAGTATTCGTCAATTTTTTTGAACTCAATTATGCTTCAGATATTTCCTATTGGCTAATATTTTTACAAAAATGATCTATGGGGTGCAACTTGAAAAATAGACAGTTTGAATTGTTGAAGTTCGATGTGGTGTGAGCCGTACCACTAATCCCCAATTTTTTTTTCAAAAAATAGGAATCTCTTCCCTTAAAGATTATGTTTAACATAGTTACTAATTGATATTTCCGTACTCATCCAGTTATGGAACAAACATCCGTCCAATATATCGCATCAGTTATGTGTGGATATCATATTTGCCAACAAAATAAGCAGATGGTTTTCCTACCAAACATTTCAGTTCATGATTTATTTTGGGACCATACTAATTGGCATTTCCTTTGCCACAGTGCAATTCAAACTGAGAGGATACAACCATGTGATGTTGAACAGTTGAACTGTTGAACTAAAAGATTATGATGACATCATTGTTATATGAAGTCAGGGAACTAATAATAATTTCCATTTTATAAAAACAAAAAACAAAAAAACTCCATTTTTTTAAAGATAATATATCCATTGGCCCACCTTAAGCTAACCTACGGAGAAAGGTAAACGATTCCACGACTCTTCCCCGCAGACACACACACGCCAACTTCTTTGCATTGAAACAAATCCACCCGTCAATTTTTGGACCTTCACGTTTAATTGTATTCGCACAGAATAATCAACACCGACTCACCCCAAAAACCCCTTTTCCATTAAATATATTTTCATTATTCTCCACAAAATTATACAAATTTTAACATTTTCAGCACGATCACGCAGAAGAAACCCAAGAACAAGCAAAAAGTTTCAAACTTTGAACCCCAAATCATGGTTCCGGCAACCATTTTCGCTCACCTCAGATCCACGGTCGGCGGGTTAATGTTCGTATGGGCAATATTCTAGCAGTTCTTGGGGAGGTTAATATGACTTTATTTACCTGAAGTTGGGTATTGCATTTCAAGTTTTGTATCCATAACCCATATATAAAAGAAACTTTACTTACACATGGAAAGACACGGCGGTTATATCCCAAATCTATCACAAAGTTAAAGTGTGGTTGTCTTTAGGTACCGCCAATGTGGTCCTAGTTCTTTCCCACAATAACCAGCTTACATATATATATTTACCAAATTGTGTCAAGGTTTGAGCAAGGCAATTGTTGGGCATGTAGCCTCATGTTTAGGAAAAATCTATCTTGGAGTCGGTTGTACATCCATTGTTTGAGAGATATCCAATCCAAAAGGAATATATGTCTGTCTCGAACATGAATATACAATCGGGCATAACTAATCCCCTCTATTCACACAAATTTAACTAGCATGTGGTGGACACTCAGTTATTAGGGAAAAAGTGCAAATTTGCACCAGAACGTAATCTAAAAGAAGCACAAAGCTTCGACACAAATCACAAGCAACAACATAAGATTCCAGTAGGCCGCTTTTTCTACAGTATTATATTGAGGATACTACCAATGAATTTCGCACTGCATAATGATCCTGCTAGGAATTTTACCGGGTGTTCATGCTTTCCCGGCATTGGACAAACTGATTGAAAATGTATAAAGTTAGAAAGAAATATTCCCCACATGTCATGGTTCAGTATATATTATATAAAATATACGTACGTACTTGTTAATATATTCTCCAGTTAAAAGAAAGGGAGTTTTATCTGAGGAATGTTGTATCCAGACCAGAGTGCATGATTGCTCACAGACCGTATATGTTTAATATTGAGCTCAAAAATTAGCACTGGATGCCCATGACAAATGAAGCACCATCAGGGAGGGGTTGAGGTATCTATTATTTTTCTTTCAAGTTTGAAGAAATTTTGGGATCTGGCAATCATATCGCCTGTCTGTGCGGTCCCAAGACAAAAAAAATCCACCAGTCCATCCTCATGATTTATTATGCTAACCTTGGACCACTCTTTGGTCCTACTTCCCTCTCACATGTCCCTAATCCGGCTTCTCCTCACAAGACCCTCTTCAAAGTTCGAGTATCATATACAGGAATGGCCGGCTGATGACTAGATCCCAAGACTAATATATGGAAACACCAATAGAGCCAAAAATGATGTGATTAATCTTTGGCAGATACAGGTAATTAAGCAAGAAATGTGGCTTTCAATTTGGTTAATCAGATCGATGTCTATGTAAAATTTGCTTAATTAATTATAGTAGATTTGTTGAAGGCAGCATGTAAACTTGTGGCAGATTAATAGTTTCCTAACTTGAATCTTGTATTCGAAAACCAATCAGTTGATACATCAGTCTGAATCTCATATATCTTATAGAGAATGATTGCATATTCATGAACAAACATGTCAAACTGGAAACAAAGTGATAAGATGCAACTTAAATCCCCAGGTTTTGTAGTATGCTTGGAATCCTGGTGCTTGAATTTCATAGAGGTTGTCTTCGAAACACCACGCAAAGAGCGCACAATGTGTACACCCCGCAACCAGAAAATACTCGAACGAAATAGAATCACAAATCTGTGTATTCAACGTAAATTCGAACCCCATGCCATGATGTGACAATTTGATTAGGTTTAAACCTAGGCACATTTATCATCATTTGATCTATTCGACAGTCAAGATTCAATGCAAGTCAATCAAAATCCATAAAAATCTATTATATAATCTTCTCAAATCTTCATCATAAGTACCACAGTGGTGGAAAGTGTTGTTCTTACACCATGGCATGGGTTCAAATTTCGTCGGCTCACTAATCTAACATTTAATATAACAAAAAGAAAAAAAATCTTCTCAAATCTTCCAAAATCCATATGAAATTTCTATAAGTCAACATAATGAAAACCATCACTTAAAAAAGTCAATTAAAGTCCTCTTAAATCCTATTTAATTACACCCCTTATTTCCTAGCTATTTCTTAGACCAATTTACGGATCAAAATTGTCTCACTTTTCACGAGAACTTGAAATTTCATTGCTAAGAATCGTTTTACAAGTTAAATTCTGTGATTAGTTCTAATATATGACTAACATTATAAAAAAATCTAGTCCAAGCCAGAATGACTCAGTCATTCGAAGAGTCTAACATCATTTTCATTTTCTTTTGACTAGCGATGGAGATCTATTAGGAGATATGAAGGTCTCGACGAAATTGTGTGCTTGTAACTTTCATTATTTTCCATGGAAAAATGAACCCTGTAAATTACTGGTGAGTTTCTAATTTGTGTGGTTAGATCAATTTTCCAAATTTAAAACAATATATTTGATTTTGAATAATGATTAATTCATTAGCATATGCCAATTTATCTCACTTTATATATTATGTAATCACGGGCAAAGTCCTTGCAAATTAAAAGTAAACTTCATGGAAATGTAAAGGTAATTTCCTTACATTGTTGATAAACCTAACATTCTCTGAGTACATAGAGAAACATCGGCCTAGCTTGATGGCTATAAATATGGGGGCTATCTATGGTCGTAGAGCATTAATACATTGTATAGAGAAACAAGAAGAGATAAAAGAGGTTAAGGGATTCTTGTCGCATGAGAGATGGTACGAGCTACGCTATGGCTAACAGCATGTTCCATCCTCCTGTGACATGAACCCCTTTATTTCTTTATGTAGATGCAATAATTTCTTCATTCTATTAAAGAAAACTGCAGCATTATCCAAATTCATTGAGAGAAAGGGAGAGAGGGAGAGAGGTACTCTAGAGAAGTGATGGAATTAAGAAAGGTTGGGGGATTTATGTTCGCAGGAGAGATGGCACTAATTGTACTGCAATTGCGTCAACAATTGTTGCCATCTCTCCTGTGACCAAAAATCTCTGCACAACTTCTACAACTTTTGATCTTTTTCTAAATGGCCATCTAACAAGAATCCAAAGAGAAAAAAAAAATGGTATATTGGTAAGTTGGCACGTACCAACTCCATCTTCAATATTTGCATCCATATATATATTGTAGTTGTTTATTCATAGTCATGATCTTATTAAATTTCATGATATTTTTCTTATCTTTGTTAGTTCTCCAAATACTTTTGTCTTGCTAATTAATGTGAATGCAACAAACTCTATTAACGTTTTTTTTTTTTTCGTCGAACAAACTCAATTAACTTGCTAACAAGCCATTTGCACTTTTCCCGTTACGTTTGATCTCTTTTGTGACCAATTTTTAGTTATAGTAATTATAAAACTACTTTATGTGCCATAAGGTTGCTACTTTAATTTTTCATCCTCGTTGTCCACGTTCCAATAAACTTGTCCTCCTTTCTTCGTTCTTTTTGTCATCACTCAAATTATCAACAAAAAAAGGTCATGTCGCAGTCCATGTGATTAAAAATGATGAAGCAAGTCGGAAGCTTGTCTCGTTTCTTTGAGGCAAATTTTCTAATCTGGAAATTTTACGTGTGAAAGGAACGACTCCTCCAAATGCATGTGCTTGCAGGCAGAGGGGGCGTTGAGGGGTGCAAAAGATGCAGTCATAAATGACTCTAAATTTGAAGGGGTTCTTAAAATTTTTGTCATCTAGTATTTATATGTAATAATATTCTATATTTAAAATTGTTTTTGTTATGAGATAATGTTTTATATTCAAAAATTGATTTTGTTAGCACTTTAAAATCTCATCTTACATTCTTTATAAGCGTAATTATTTTCTTTTCTAAATATAAAAATTTAGAGTACAATAAAATATTTTGAGTGTCAATAATACCCATAAAAGACGGTATTTTTTCAATATTATTATATAAAAATGTTACATATTCAAGTGAAACTTTAAAGTTAGAGTTTTTGAAGTCTGTTTTCTTGTTTGGTTGTTTAAGAGTGAAATACTTTTGATTATTTAGGGAACGTTATGTTTGTAGTTCTTTTACTTATTACTGATGACATTTTTAAACTTGCAATCAGTGAGTGCTAAATTTTGTTTTGATTTAAGTAATTGATTTTTAGTGTCAATACATTGTCCTACATTTTTTAAGATTATCTTAAAAAGAGGTGCTTTTATAAATTTCACACAGAGCCCCTTAAATCTTAGAGACGGCCTTGTTTGCAGGGAAGCTAACATATTCTAACCTAGCTATCAATATAGGGTCGATGTGCCTTCTGGAGCTGATCGATCTCTCCATCTAGAAGCTATCATTATCTGTGTAATTCTGCTACTAACTTACTTTCTCAATAAATATATAAAAATACATGGTGGAATGGACTGGGAAAGCCGAAGGATATGTAGGGATTGCTTTCCTACCTTTTTTTACTGGAATTGCACCGGACAACTTTCTACTCAACGAGTTGTTAATGTATATATGGACGCCCAATCAATTTCTCCAACCTGCTACTTTCCATTCACACAATTATTTTTATCTCCTACATCATTTGTTAATTTCTGCTATTTGATTTTCTTCGATTAAATCGAGCCGATTTCCAGAAATTGAGAAAAATGTGTGAAAAGTAAAAAGTAGTATAATGTAGATAGCACCTCCTTAAATATAAAAACGAGAGGGTATGAGGATTGAAGGCATGGTTTAAACTTCAAAGAGAAAATATGTATAGGAGTTGAGGACCCTTGTCAGGAGGAATGGCACGGACGCCTCGCTGCTGGCCTTTAAGCTAGTGACGATCAGATATCCTACAACTTCTGTAGACTGTAGTCTGTGTATATAAGGATATGTTAATTGGGTTCTTTTTGGTCTTCACATTTTGCGACTTCTTATTTTGGGTAAGGCCTTAATATTAAGGTCTGTAAACTCCATTGATTTACAGAACCACACTCCATAACTTATATAGATCAAGCAAATATTAACGTTACGACATTTTAGTTTTTTTTTTTCAACCTGATTTTTATCTTATGTTTGTAGATTAATTTTTTGATTAATATACTCTCAATTACTTAAGCTTGACTTTGTCAAGATATGATTGTTTTAGCTAGGTATCTACTGCAGAAGCCATATATACATTGTTAATTAAAACAGGCCTATCATGATTATCATAATCTGATGATTGATCTTACCGCACTAAAACGTGGATTAATAATAAAAGGTTCCTTCTATTTGGAGCTGTAAATATAATAAGTTGGTATGATTAGATGATGGAATTCTTGGTGATCTCATATATATTGCAGTACTAATTTATCATTCAGACTTGGTCAAGAGATTACTAATCAACTAATAATACTGGTTTTGCAGATCGATTTCATCTCACAACTGTTTTGCGTTTGACAAATTTCATGAATAATTCATCAACTCATATGTATGAGCTTAGGGCTAGGTCTTAAATCTAAAAATAAACATATAGTACTGCTGAGATCATAAATGACATAGTTTATATATATATATATATATATATATATATATTTTTTTTTTTTTTTTTTTTTTTTTTTATGAAAAAATAAATTTATTCACCCAAGGACAACCCCTTCCTAAATATAAGTTTATATATTTGTTTCATTTTATAATATATATTTATATCCAAAGCTGTACTAAATATGTATTGTATATTATATTTTGTGTCCCTTATCCACGACCATGGGGCTTTAATCATTGTTTGTGAGAGAGAAATTTGGAGTTTATAATGTACGAATAATAGTTATTTATAGAACGAGTTGCACTTTGTTAAAATAAAAAAGGAAAATGAAGAAATACTATACTGGCTCTTTCATGCCTATATATAAAAAGCTGCATCATGAGGATTCCGGAGAAGAGATCTACCCAGTGGATCGAAAAACCGTACTAAAAGCGAGATCGAAATATCAAATCGTCGGGACTTCTGTCGTGGGTGAGATGGTGCCGATGCCACGTAATTCGGGGCAGCGAGCTTCATCTCTCCTCGACAGAAGCCTCTAATGCTTTGATTCTACAGAAAAGAAAACCCATCTTTAATTTTTTGCAAGCTTGGAGAAAGATCAGGTGAAGTAGTATTGTTTTACCCTTTTTTTCTGGATTTTGTTGTCTAATTTTATTGTACTCTAAGATTTTGTTATGAACAAAACCTATTTTCTTGGATCAATGGATCATGGTAAGTGCTTATATACATGCAAGGGATCGAAAGAATAGAAAGCATATACATATATATATGTATGTATGTATGTATGTATTTGTGAGTACCTAGCAAATGTTTTCCAAGATCCAAATGCACATTGGTTTTTCCTCCTTTTAGCTAAATCCGGCCACCTGTGACGTCCTCTTCTACAAAGGCAACGGAGAATCGCATGGCCTGGTCGGCGGGGGTTTCGCTCATTAGCTAGCTAGTGAAGGACTCAAGCACATGATTTCTTCTGAGAGGGGTTTGTATACTCCTTTGTCCAGATGAAGGCTAAAGGATGGAGAGCTAATTGAAGATCTTGTGTTCAGAGGGTTCGCCGCAAGTATAGTCATTTTACATGTGATTGCAGTGTTAATTAGGACTTAAAAATCATTGTAAGCCTGCAAATGGTGTTTCTCTATTATATTTTGCTAAATATTCAAGCCAGCTTATATACTTTGGAGATAGCAGCAAACCCTATGTTCTCTTATTTTAATTATTATTTGAATTCAATTTTTCTGGCCCAGAATATTATTGAACATGTATATATGTAGATAGATGTATGTATATGTTGTTAAAGAAATATCTTTTCTTTCCAGTGTTGTGCTCCATAAATATATATATATATATATATATATATATATATATATATATATAATTGTTATTGGCACTTCAAAATTCTCATTCTACATTCTAAATTTTCTATATTTAAAAAGAAAAATATGAAGACTGTAGAATAAGATTTTTGGAGTGCCAGTAACACTTTCCTATATATGTAGACAGATGTTTGTATATGTCGTTAAAGAATTATCTTTTCTTTCCAGTGTTGTGCTCCATAAATAAACAAATATATATATATATATAGGGAATTGTTATGGGAAATTTTATTTAAACTCATGTAACCTATTTCTACATTCAACTTACTCTTTACATCCATTTGATTTTTAACTAGGGTAAAAGACTGTTTACTACCCTCAAGTTTCGTGGTTTTCAACATTTAGTACATCAATTTTTTTCCATCCCAAAGTCATCCCAAAAGTGTTAATTTTGGGACAGTCTCATACATCCGTTAAGTTTTCTGTTAGAACTTCTGTTAACTGATGACGTGACACACACATAGACAATTACTGGGCGCCACGTGTCAATTTGGGCCCACTTCAATATTAAAAAAATTAAAAATACAAAAAAAAAAGAAAAAAAAAACAAACATTTGTCTCTTCCCTCATATCCCTCGCACCTCTCCCTCTCTTCTCTCTTATGCAACCCGCACCCCTTCCCTCCATTCTCTCTTCTGCACCTGCACCACCCTCCCTTCTCTCCTCTACAACCCGTACCCATCATCTCCGCACATCCAACCCAACAAAATCCCACCCAAAGAAATTCTATTTCAACAAGAATTTGGTATTTTCAAGTATGGATCTTCTCTTTGTGAACCCAGAAGAAAAACCCAGAAAAAGCCTCTCTCGCGACCCTTATTCCACGAAAAGAGAAGAAGTTAAATTAGAATCGTTCTTCAATCCGTCTTACCCACCTCTCCCTCGCTACTCAATCTCTCTACATCTATCACAATTCTCAAATAACGAAACAAGAAGTTTAATTAAAGCAAATTAAGAAACAAGTGACTTCCATCTTCAGGAAAAGCTGAAAAGTGTGGACTGAGGTTTCAATAATCTTGACAAGATCTGGGGCATAAACCATTAAATCAAATTCTTCCTCCTCTGGGCCATTTCGAATTGGACCAGAAAATGCAAACTTGAAGCGGGTGGAGGAGACCCAAATCTTCCCAATTTTCCAGAAAACTATATAGTTTAAAAGAAAAAAAATATTCAGATCAACTAATATTGGGTTTCTTTTATGAACCCAGAAAAATTGGGGTCTATTTCGAGATGAAAAAATAACGGAAATAGAAAAGGAAAATCAAAAGGAAAAAGGAAGAAGAAGGGAAGAAGAAGAGACGAGAGGGCAGAGAAGAGGCGGTGGTCCAGGATCTGGACGTAGAGGACGAGACAGCTTGTAGCAGCAGCCCAAGACAGACTACGTCATCGACCGGATCTGGTAGGACGATTTGGTGGGTTCGTGCAGAAGAGAGAAGAAAGGGAGAAGAAATGAGGGAATGAGGGACGGACAGACAAGCTGAGTCATCAACCGGATCTGGTATGACGGTTTGAATTCCGATTTCGGAAAATCCGGCTGGTTGCACTCGTCCCACCATGCTTTCGACCTGTCCTTGACACACAGCCGCCGATAGTGACCCGATTCGACTCCCGGCTTACCTATTTCAACTCCATCAGCTACCACCGACATCGCCTCACATGCGGCGCTTCTTGATTTTCTCCGCTTCATCGTTTCAGATTCTTCCACCTCCGAGTAGCACTCCTGCAAATCAGAGTAGTAATCGAAAATGGCCTCGTTCCTTTCCTTATGCGTCTCTTCTATTAACGATGCGTCGTCATTCGATGCCATGTTGTGGTCAAGCTCATCCTGCTTCACCTGCTCTTTGAGCAACGACAAGGAGGCGAAGTCTTCAGCTGCTGAAGGAAGGTGTAGATGGTGATTTGCAAACGACATCCATAACAAGGAAATTGAGGAAGCAGGGATAAAGGGTGTCGGGTGGGGAAGATAATGGGGTTCTGGGGATGGAGGGATGTCGGGTGGGGGTGAGGAAGATGAAGGGGTTATGGGTTTTATTTTGTTTTGTTTTGTTTTTTTTTTTTTTTTAATTTTTTGAATTTTTAATTTCCACATGGATCCCTTAATGACATGTGGCGCCCAGTCATTGTCCACATAGGCGCCATGTCATCAGTTAACAGCAAACTTAACAGTTTGACTAACGGATGTATGAGACTGACCCAAAATTAACACTTTAGGTATAACTCTGGGACGAAAAAAACTTGATGTACTAAATGTTGAAAACCACGAAACATGAGGGTAGTAAATAGTTTTTTACCCTTTTAACTAAACTATTAATATTTCTTTAAACCAAAACTTATTATACCCTGATAAACCCAATTCAATATGTAGATTTTTCTTTAGAACCATTTAATTTTAACTCTATCTTTACGCTGTCTAGAAATGGACACTAAAAATTGAGATGTGAATTCAGCCATGGTTGACTACAAGACTAACACTTCTATAAATGTTGACAAAAATCATGTATCACCATCTCTCCCTTTGCATTATCAATTAACGGGTGCATTGTTCTGGTTTTGTTTTTCTCTTCAAATCCCCCCCATTTTAATTTTTAATTCGATAAAAGCCCATATATGAAAGGAGATTGGAAGTTTGAATAAATTGATGAGTTTAAAATTTATTCATGATGATTTTTGGTTAATTAATCAATTAGGCAGGGTTTGAGGTGATTAGGTTGTGTCTTATCGAAGTTGTTTTTTTTTTTTTTTTGATTGGGGGGGGGGGTTTCACATAGTTGCAGGTAGCTACAGAAAAAAAAGAAAATCGGCGCAAAATATGGAAAGAACGAGAGAGAAGGTGGTGGTAGTGGTGGCGGTGGTAGAGACAGATTGCTGCACATGAATCAGGAATAAGCATTGAATTGGAGCAGGAGCTACGTAGGGACTCCTCCTTCGATCAATCGATTTCAACATGGTTTCTAATATTAATTGAAACACTTTCTTTCTTGTTTTTTGTTGAGCGACTGCCGCAATTTGCTGTTGCAGAAAGATAAACAAACTATGCAGGATTGATTGAAAAAAAATTAAAACCAAAATACTCATCTTCTAAACTCTAAAAAATTGAAATCAAACGAACAAAAAATTCATAAATTGGGTCATACCTTTTTTGGAGGATTCAAAACTTCAAAATCATCATCCATCAATAAAAAAACTTATTTTTCTCTATGAGAGCTATTAGGGTTTTAGCCGGAATGAATATAGGATAAACAAAGAGTGATCGTATGGTTTAATTATGGTGTTTGGGTTTATTGATAAATTTGAGTTTTATTATTAATTTCATTTTGTATTTAATAGTAATTATGCAATAGGGTAAAATAGATAATTAACATTTAAAATTTAAGTTGGGTGTAGAAAGAGATTACATGGTTTTAAATAAAATTTCCCAATTGTTATTGACACTCCAAAATTCTTATTATACATTCCAAATTTTCTATATTTAGAAAGAAAAATACACTTATGAGGAGTATAGAATGAGATTTTTTGAAGTACCAACAACACTTTTATATATATATACACACACACTTTTGTGGTCCGAATGGTTTTATATATAGGGACTATATACACACTTTTGTGGTCCCAGTGATTTCATGATATATACTTTTAGGGGTTTCTTTTTCTATGGTTGGGAGCTTCTACCCGTATCTTGGACCGTGGTGGTGGTAGTGGTGGTGGTGGTGGTGGTGGTGTCAATTCATACATTTGTAATCGGTGGTGGTGGTGGTGATGTCAATTCATACATTTGTAATGTGGTGTTGATGATGGTGGTGATGATAGTGGTGGTTCATACATTTGTAATATGTGGTGGTGATGATGGTGGTGATAATAGTGGTGGTTCATACATTTGTAATATGTGGTGGTGATGATGGTGGTGATGATAGTGGTGGTGTCAATTCATACATTTGTAGTCAGTTTAGTTTATGTTTATTGTTTTTTTATAAGCATTTAGCCGATCATAATTGCAGTAGAAAGTATTTTCTCTTTCTCGTTACAGTTGCACGGTAGAAATTTTTCTTTAGATAGGTCGTAAAGAGGTAATTCAACTATTTTACGATGCCGAAAGCTAGATTGAACGGTGTACGGCTGAAAAAAATGGCAGAAAGTTTGATTGAATTAGATGGAGGAGCGTCAAATCAACTGACTAATGAGAGTTTTTTTTTAGGAAAGGATCTATTTCCACCTAATTCATCTAATCATCTAATCTGAACTATTGAAATTTAATCCAACGGTTAAAATTATTATAACTTTTAAAAGGTATTCTGTTTATAGCTATTTAATCAAATTTCAAAAGTTCGGATTGATTTATTGGGTGAATTTGATGGAAGAGATCTGGAGAGAATCCATTTCATTTTTTTAATATATAACATTAGTACCAACAGGATATTTTCCTATTTTTTTTTGAAGATTTAGAAATTTGTAATCGTGTCCGTTTATTGTATATCGTGTGATTAGTTTTCGTCAAATACTATTTGTGTTTAATTTTAGATAAAAAAATTTACAAATATTTTTAACTACACGATATACGATGAACGAACACGATTTACAAATTTTTGAAATTCTCACCAAGAGGATTCGGACACCCAAAATATATCATAATATATCTTTCACTTATTATATCAGGAGTGATATAGATATAAACTCATATATTCTCAATTACACAATTCAAAATATAATTACAAAGATGTATATCACTGATTATACATAAAAAAAACTCTCCCAAACAAGAACAATAAAACATAGTAATCCTAGGGAGAGTAAATTTTTAGATAAAAGTTTGTAGCTTAAATGACATGAAAGTTGATAATTGAATTATGACTTAAGCATTGATAAACGTAATTATTTTTATTTATGATACATCATTTAATTTGTAAATTTTATCTAAAAATTAGTTTTCCAAACATTACTCATAAAACATACGCCATTGATGTGAATTATGTGGAAGATAATTATTGAAAGTGGGGCCACTATTTGCTTCAATGCATGCTTCTAAATTGCCTTGCATTCGTAGATAAACACAAAAGGTGTTTGGGACCAATAATTTTACATGAAAGAAAATGATTGAAAAAAAAAAAAGCTAGCTAGCATGCACAACACAGGTGTATGGAAAGCCACACCCGTTTGGATTATTTAGAGTTATGCAATGAATTTGGCTAGGAAAAGTATCACTCCATAGTCCTCTACAGGACATATGGTCCAATGTTTTAGTGTACGGGTGTTAGATTTTTATCTATGTGGTCCCGAAGCATGTTCAGCCGCAGGAGAAAGCAAATTCCCCTTATTCAGCGGATTTGTCACCAGTTCAAATCTGGTTCCTGGCACATGAGTAATTTGTATGAGTGTATATTCTAAAAATTAAATAGTTTTGAAATTTCTTCTCCTTTAATACTAATAATTTTTTATTTAAAAAAAATCCATATTCCTCTACCGGTGTTAGTATAGGAGAATTCAATTAGGATTCTCATGGGCTAGGTTTTGTAAATTCTTGTGGACTTAAGATTACTTGTATCCCAAGACAGTTAACTTGTATATATTTGTAATATTGTGACATCAACCGCATGAGTCCATCACTTTATGTTTTGCTAGTTGCAGCAAACCCTAATGTTGATGTCAAGTCCCCTTCAACCTTAACACCATGCACTAGTGTTCTTTATTACTTTCCATCAATAAGAGTGAACCAAATCTTAACAAGAAAAGAGAAATACAAGCTTTTTTAGGAGTTAATAATTTTATTTTCCTTTTAGAGTTAATAATTTCACAAAGGCACTAGGGTTAGCCCGTTATGAGGGTGGGTGGGGTGTAAAGTGATGGGTATGAGTAGCCTGAATTCAGAATCCGAAAGTCTGCAATGTAACAGAAAATAAAATCTCTCACGGGCAGCAATGGAGTTTGAAACCTTTTAGTGGACGGTAGGGCTGGTCAATGAGTAGCTATTTAGCTAAATGAATGCCCATTTTTAAGTGTTAAATATGTGTTAATTGTGGTGATGAGCACCACCATCAACATTGATTTTATTCACATTTTAATGTAAAACTCATTTAATTGCAATATAATACATCACTTGGAGGGATCACATAACACTACTTTAAGAGTTATTCTACAAAATTATAAAAGTTTGGGTAAAAAGAAAAAGAAAGAGAGATTTTCCTCCGGTGGGAGGAGATTCTTGAGTGTAATCAAATGTATATCTACCATATGAAATGAGACGAGAAATATTGAGACGGGGGTATGTGTTAGAATCTCTCCACGGCGGGGGAACGTCATGGATGGCCTGTGCTTAGGAGGCTCCAAAGCCGACGGGGTCATGGGCTTCAATTCATAGGCATGACCAAATGAATTATCATCCAACAAACAAAATGATGGCAACGAAAAAAAAAAGAAAATTTTGAAATAGGTCAATTTTTAGTGACTTTTGACTTTTGAAATAGATCCAATTTTTAATTACTTTTGATCCATATCAAAAGACCCCAAAAAAACCCCTAAACGTAACAAGACGAGCAAAACACGGCTTTTTTTTTTTTTTTTTTGGAAAGAAACAGCTTTAGGTCCACAGGTTTGCACAGGATCAGAGACAAGTTTTCTTTAGATTTCCTCTTTCAAATGTACATCTTTCCAGCAGTTCTTACACTCCCGTCATCATTTCAAGACACATTTTACTGCAGCATACGACATGCCCGGACCATGAGAAATACAGTATCCAAAAATTTTAGAACGAAAAAAAGGTAAATGGGAAATGGTGGGCTAACCTATAAATCAATGATACATACCATGCCACTATAGCAGGAAGCACTACAGCTCATCGGAAGTATGTGCATACATTCAGCCATCTCGTCTTCCAACCATATTGAATACCATTTCCCTGATCATGCTGTATTCCATTGTCAATTGTAAACTAACTGAACTGGCGCGGGGAAGCACTTCAACCAGCTTAAACAAGCAGTTTTGAGTTCTTGTCATTTGCACTGTTTTGGTCGGAATTTCTCATTGGACAATAGAGAGCTGATCAAAACCTCGAGCCTTTTTGCTCCAGGGGTAGGCCTGAGGATTGTGGTACTGCCAATATCAGAGCATGGATCGGACCCATTGTCCCTTTTTCCTATGCACCAACCACCAGGAACAAGCATGCCAGGACCCTTAAACAATAACGCAGAATCAATTTTGTCAAGCACTGGATCATCTTGGCGAAACTTTCTTGCAAAGGGAGCATTGCTGTCGACCATCCTTTGCATATCTGCAAGGTTTAGGTGGTGAGGATGTTGCTTGGGAGGGTTGTCCCACGTTATAAAATGTAGGTCACTATTCACAGTTGTGTTGCGGAACTCTTGAGCATTACAGATGACAGTGTGAAAGTATCCCTCCGGGGACGATACAAAGTTTGCGTAGTACATGAGAACAGTTCGAGGTAGGTTGTCCCAGCCCCATATGCAGTAATCAACAAAAGGCTTTGAAAGTGCCATCCAAGCAGAACCTGTGAGAGAAAGCAAACGTTTGGTCAAATTAAACTTATGACAACAGGAAATGGTTCTCAATGTAGAGCTTATGGATATTTTTCAAGGGATTCTGTAAGGGCAGGTAGCAGTTGGAGAGGAGCAACAGGTGGAGAATTGATGGGAAATTGGCAAATCTCACTTAAAAAAACCAAATTTTTTAACGTCCAAAACCTACAAAGGCCAAGGTCAGGCTAAAAGGAACTATAAGAGTGGTGTGTAAAGAAATTAGCTAGCACCATAGAGGACCTCTGGACTTTATGTTTTTAATGTGCTGAGTACATGAAATCCCAGCGTTGTATAAGAGACAATTTAACAATCACGCAACATGGAATCAGATTATGCAGCTTAATGCTTTGATGTCGTTATTAATCGTGGTAATTGATCCCACATGGTGAGAAAAAAAAAAGCATACTAAGTTACTTTTATGCATAATAGAGAATATCGGCTATAAAAACTAGGGTCCAAATGCACATGCAACTATTATGAGTTCACGGTTTCAGAACAGCAGAACAAGAGGATATAATCCACACACACACACATATAAGTTGTTTGGTTCAGCTGCAAAAGACAGCAGTTCGACACATTTGGGAATGCATTTGTGAAAGTTGTTAAATAAAGGTCATTCCTTAACTGCAACTATTATTGAGTCATCAATATGATGTTCTGTTTCGTTCCTATTTTTCACTTCAGGGTAAATGAAATTGAACAGACGTCTTCTCATGATACGAAAGATGTTTTAGGAGTTGCTTCTTCAAAGAAAACAACTAGAGAGGGCTGAGACATATAGCCTCATCCACTCGGAGTTGAACTCTAATGTTTCCAAGCAATCCCATGTTGTCAGCATTGTAGTTTTGCACAAACACCAAAGCTGAACAAAGGTTGCTAATTATTGATTCTAATGCACTCAACACAAAAAAATATGTTTCAATTGCAAATTCTAATAGCTACGGGACATCCTTTGTTCATCTCATGTTTTCTTGTGACAATTGAATATTTTTTTTTAAAAAAGCAAAGGCTGTCATAAATTTGGCAAAACCCCATTTGTCTTACTGCTTAGCCATATTTTCAATACCAATTTTCAAATCCATAGACTACTAATCAAGTTCATTTGCTGAAAATCAAAGCAGAAAAAGGACAGCCATTTCCGTTCCTAACAATATATGTATAAATTTACGTACTTTATATATGTTTGGATTTCTACTTTCTACGTCCCATTTGGTCCTCCTATATGATTTGTCATCTAAAATTTGTACCTGTAAAAAGTTTGAAAGCTGTTGGCACACTCCTTCGCTGTGTAACCCAAAAAACATCAGCTTTCTTGGTCATATACAAACCCGGATCCACAATTATCGGTTTCGCTCTTTGATACCTATAAACAGGCAGCATTTCCAAATCAATCACACAACTTTACTCACTCAGAAAAAGAAATGAAAATAAAAACAGAAACTTTATAAATATAGACAACAAAATAAAGAACAATGGGGGAAGTTATGCATACTCTTTCCATCCAATGTTGCTCGTATGATCGATGAAATTAAGATCCCGCGGCAAGTATGAGAACGTGTGCAGCAGATCTAATCAACCAAAATAATCAAAATCCAATGATTAATTATTCAAATTTAACACACAAAAAAGTCCAAAAATCCCAAATTTTAAACGAAAGCAGTCCAAAAGGCCCAAATTTTAGACTCACCATCCTGAGTAACAAGTGGGTAATCAGAAGCGCTGAGATTGATGAACCAATCCCAATCGCCGCCCTCCCTCAGCAAAATGGCGGCCGCGTGGAGGGTGTTGGCCACCATAGTCGGGCCCCTGTAAGTGACGAGATTGGCCTTGCTGATCATCTTCACATTCCCAAACCTGATAAAAACGGGGTGGGTAGAAACGTAATTCTGCAGATCAGTCCGCTCCTTGGGCGGCGACTCGAGGTCCAGGTGGACGACGTAGCGGTTGTGCGGGTGGTAGAGGGCCTGGAGGGTCCGCTTCAGCATGTTGCCATCGCCGATGGAGCCGGAGATGAAGTAGGCGAAGCGCGGCGGCGGCGGGAGGGAGGAGACGGGAATCGGGTGGAGCTTGGATTCTATGAAGACGGAGCTGGAGATGGAGAAGGAGCGGTAGAAGGGGAGCAGCGGTGTGCCGCCGGACCACGTCAGGGTGGTGAGGAAGAGGAGGAAGAGGGAGACAATGGAGCCAATCGCCAAGGGGAAGATCCATTTGAGCTCAATTGTCTGGTGGTGCCTCAGATGGGAGTAGTAGCTCTTGAGCTTCTTCATTTTTCAAAATTCACAAACTTCCGGACCAGAATCCAAAAAAAAAAACAAAAAAATCCCACCGACCCAGATTCCAAAACGGGCTAATCCTGCTGGGTTTTCGAGATGAAGGATGAAAGGTGGGTGCTTGTTAGCATGTGTTTTCTGTTTGGTTGGAACGAAAGTGAGGGAAAAGGACAGAAAATGAAAGAGAAAATGATCTTTTTGCTGGTGGGATTTGATTAAAGAAGTGATTAGTTCGTTTAATCAGTGATTAGTGACTAAAGACTTGTTCTTTAATTTGTCCACTGAGCTGGGTTAATGGAGGGGATTATATGAAGGACGGTGAACAGTACAGAAGAAAGGTCTCCGGTGGATAAGGACGGACTAATTTGTCCAACCGCCGTGACAGGAGGGGCTAAATTCTAAAGGATTGCGACGGGGAGGGACGAGTAGGGTGGACTAGAAGTTACAAAATTACAAATTTCAGGATCCATATATATATATATATATACACATTTTCTTGGTGGATTTGAAAATGATTTAAATTAGGAAAGAAATCTGAGCCCCACGAGATTTATGCTTGTTGGTTAAACGTTATTTGTTTTCAGGTGTTTTTTAAGTCGGAAAATAGTCAAAAAAAACGTTGTGCCGTTTTCTAACTTTGAGTTTAACAAAAAACATGGGATTCATTGGGTGAAAAGTGAAAAACAAACTTGGAACAAAATGTGATTCCATTTTTCGGTTTTCTTGTTGTTGTTGTTGTTTTTTTTTTTAATTTGTTTATAAGTAGGATTTAAATTTAAGAAAATAAAAAATGCACAAGTTAAATTCTTATTTTTAATCTTAATATTAACTAGGGATTAATGTGGACCCTAATACAGGGCCTTGTGCAATAAGTTAATTCCTTTGCCTGGGTTGTTTTTGATCTTGTGTCGTTGTTATTAGCTGGTTTATTTATTATTTTTAAATGATTGACGTATACGACAATTAATTGAACTTGAAATTTCGAGTGAAATGATGAATTTGACCTGTTTTTTAATTATAAAAATGATTAAGTTCAAGTTATTACATTCAATTGCATAAGTTGTTGCGTTTAATTTCTATGAATATTTCTGTCTATTTGGAAAAGTGTCAAACATCGTGTCAAAATTGAAACCGTTTTGCACGTCAACTATGAGTTTTAACTTTTAATCACAATGCTCACGTCAACAAATAAGCAACTAATCAAAGTTAAACAACATTACCGCCAAATAAAATAATGTATTGGTGGATTAGTTGTATTGATAAAAAATTTAACTAATATTTATTGTATAATAAGCATAGGATTACATCATATATTGGATGTTCTTCGTCATTACTGAATGTATTGTATATAAAAAGGGAACTGTTATTAGTACTCCAAAAATCTCATTCTACACTCCTCATAAGTGTATTTTTATTTCTAATTTTATAAAGTTTGGAATGTTAAATGAAATTTTTGGAGTGCCAATAATAATTCCCTATAAAAAATAACATAAGATAAAAAATTATTTTTTTATTTTCAAGAGAATATTTCATGAGTTGAGTGACCTAACTCTAACAATATTTTGAATTGGGAGATCGAGACTGTAGATAAAACTCTAAAAAGAGTAAAATTAGTGATTTTTTTTTTTAAAAAGGGATCAGCTAACTCTATGAAAAATAACATAAAATAAAAAAATTATTCTTTTATTTTCAAGAGAATATTTCATGAGTTCAGTGACCTAACTCTAACAATATTTCGAATTGGGAGATCGAGACTGTAGAATAAAACTCTAAAAATAGTAAAATTAGTGGTTTTTTGTTTTAAAAAAAAATGATCAGCTAATGACTTCGTCAAGTCAATCTACATTTTCGAAGACTGAAAAGACTCACAAAAAATACAAACCTGAAATCCATTCTCAAATTAAAAGTAGTGATTTTTGGACATTCTTTGTTTTTTAAGCCAAAATAATTAACAAAGAAGATCATGTAGAAAGAGTCAAATTTTGTTTTTTTATGAACTTTCTTTTTCTTCTTTTGAATAACCAGAACGAAAAGTCAAAAGGACCCTTTCACATGTAATAATGAAATTTTGAAAGCACTTAGCATGTTGATTGTGAATTTGATATGGTATGACTTGACTTGGATACCTTATTTGACGGTTAACATCCAACTAGGACGTTAAAGTAACGATATCAAAAGCCTATCACATGCCATTATATGTTTTAACCTATTAACACGGCATCATTTTATTGATTTAGAAAACCGTCACATTAAATTTTATTGATTTAAAAACCGTCACATTAAGTATTCTTTAATAGGTTTATGTGAGTTAATTCTCATATACAACCTGATTCTTAAGTTAGATTCCTATGACATTATTTTTGTTGTGGTGTGAGTTTGATAGCTGTGAGAGGCATAATTCGTCAGAATCAAGCTCACAAGATCCATATATTACACTCAATAATTGAACTCACTCGTATTAGACTCCAGTTTTCCGATGAACTATGTCTGTGTGAGTTAATTTGATTCCAATTACGGGGCTTAAGCTCAAATATTTTGGCCAAATGCGAAAGAATTTAGCGTCACGGTTGCCTGTGAAGTCTTACCCAATTCGGGACCCACTGAAGCCGGGTGCGTTTGGTACGCAGACGGGACGGAACGGGACGGGACGGGACGGGACGGAACGAAGATGTAATTTTTGAAAAAGACATGGGGTATATTTTTCTTAAAATGGTAAAACATTGTGTTCCACAGACGTGGAACAAACCCGTTCCAGGGGGGAGGTGGGACGCAAAAACACTCAAAATCTGTCCCGTGGAACAGCCCATTCCACCCATTTTTGGCGCACCAAACGCGGGACGGAACGCCTCGTCCCGTTCCGTCCCGTCCCGTCCCACGTACCAAACGCACCCAACTACCAACTACGCCTACGAATTAATATGGCCCCACCAACATTCTCAAAAATCCCAAATAAGTTGAAATTAGTGGAAAGTAGGTTATCGTCCACCATGAATGGCTAGGAATATGTAACCTCTTTAATCCCAAGACTTCTCGGTTTATTCATTTACATCTTCTTAGACAGTGACATGCTCACAAGAGGGAAAAAATCACCATCACTTCATATCATTCGTCTCGTAATTAAGATTGTAATTAAGATTCTAAAAAACGCTAGGTGCTAGTCAGGTGTTAGGCTGGGGTTTAACGCTTACGCGGCTAGGCAGGACTTAGGCGGGCGCCTAAGCGGATTTAAGTAAATCTATTATATTTTGTGTAAAATAAATGTCCGTTTATACTTAAAATATATATAATTTCATCATAAACTACAAAATAGAATGACATATATATTATGAAGTATTGGAACATAATGAAAACATGAAGAACAAGCATATAATGTGTGTTCATTTAAGTATTCAACAAGTCTCTTACAATTTATTGAGAAAAATAAAATGCAAGATGAAGTTATATATTTTCTGTCTAAGTGAGCCGCAGTCTAGACGAGCGCCTAGGCAGTCTAGACGAGCTCCTCATCAAGTCTAGGCACCATTTCTTAATTTTCTAACGCCTAAGCATTAATCAGGATGGTGGTCAGCCACCTAGCATCTAGACGGCGCTAGACAAGGATTTTTAGAACAGTGCCCATAATATATCCCAGTTGTATGCTAAAATCTCCCCAACTGGAGGGACGGAAAGAGCCTCGGTCCTATCCAGCAATGCAACAGAAAATGGTACGAAAAAAAGATAAAGGTGTCAATGCGTTTGGTATAATGCACGATTGAACATGTATGCTGGAAAACCCTAAATACAGAACAAGGTATCTCTTCCAAGTTACATTACTTGCAACAAAAGTATAAGTTCAGAGGCTTTTAACGATGTCGAATCTGGAAAAAAAAAGGGGGAAACAAAGGGGAGACAAGTCAGTAGAAAGAAAGAATTGAGATCGTAGGTATTTTTTCAAACGATGGTTGCTTACCAACCTCGAAATACAAGTACAACATGTAACGGGACTGCAGTCAAAACTCTTTCTCTTTAAACATGGAGAAGTAGAAGCTGTAAACAGGACACTTCAACTTGCTTTTTCAGCGCTGTTGAAAATCCGCAATCTATAAGAACAAAAGGACTGGTTTAATGGTTCCTTCACTTAGAAATTGCCGAAAACGGACTTACAATTCTGCATGTGTGTACAGATAGAACATTTCAAGTCCAAAATCTGGATGCTGGTAGTTCCATTGTGTTGCGGCCTATACACTTGGTCACGCGGTACAATATCTACAGAATAACCGGCAGAACAACGTATTCACAGTAACTGGGTAAATTTTTAACACATTGCTATGGACTTCTAAAGAGGGTCAAGACATCATAATTCGCCTTTCATTCATCTTGTTCATGATCCGGGATGCATCGTTAAGTCTATTTGATCTTTCGTAGATGCTGGCAACAACGAGGTGTAACTCCTTCTTGTTGATGTTGGGATCAGAGATCAGCCTCTCAAATAGTGCCTCTACCATCTTAAAATCTTTTCTTGCGCCGTAAAGACTAAGCATCTGGAAGTGAACTTCATCGGAGAAAACACACCCTTCTTCCTGCATCTCACTGTATACAGCATCTGCCTTCTCAAATTCCCGTAACTTTCCATAAGCATTGAGAACTAGATCAATCACATTGGAAGCGGGGAAGTATCCTGCCACTCTCATCTTTTCAAACACCTCAATGCAGTTCGCGTACTTCCGGTTTCTTGAAAAAAGATCAATCATGCAACCAAAGACCGATATATCCTTCACCTCCCCAGCCTCAAAAGCTTGACGGAAAACCCATGTAGCCTCTTCTATGCGACCGGCTCTAGCAAGAATCGTAATTGCAGTCTCCCTAGGGATATTGTCTGGGCGCTTGAGCTCATGAAGTAAACGCTTAGCATGAGCAACCAAGCCTACTCTCTCATAAGCCACAATCATGGTCTGATAAAGAACCTGATCAATCTCAACCCCGGAGCTCCTCAGCTTTTGAAACAGCATTGCTGCCCGATCCAGTTTCCCAGCCTTACCCCATATAGATATAATCGTTGAGTATGTAATTGCATTTGGCTGAACCCCTCTCTGCTGCATTTCTTGCACAAGATTCGTAGCTTTTTCGTGTTCAAGTGACTTCCCATAAATCTTGATCATCGTATTGTATGTGACAACGTTCTGCTCAATATCCATTCTCTGCATCAATCGAAAAAGATGGATGGCTTCCCCGAAAAGCTCAGCATCGCCATAAACCCTCAAAAGAGTATTGTAACTAACAACATTAGGTTCAAGTCCCATTTTCCTCATGCCCCAAAACAACCTGTCAGCTTCCTTAGCCATATCGAGCTGCCCGTAAACATCAATCATAACATTGCACGTCGTGAGATCAAGCGGACACTTAACCTCATTCATCTCCGAGAACACAGACAACGCCTCAACAAACTTTTGGTTCTCAATGTACATGCTCAAAAGCGTCG